TGGCATGATCAGATAGTTATTAATGAGCATTACTTAATATAGCGATGCGAGGGAGGGTAAAATGAGTGGTAGAGTATGTAGAATAATAGTAATACTTCTGATAGGAAGAATATAAAGGAGGCACAAATATTGGTTGAATGGATGAGAAGGTTAGAGGGCGAGTGACAGGAGGGATCAAGGAGGGTATGAAGTTGGAGTGTATAGTTTACCACTATTTATATTCCTATCTATCTGTAAAATATTATTTTGAGATCTATAGCAAACGTCTCTACTAATATTACTCATCGATATACTATTCATATATTAAAATAATCATATAATTCTATATAAAACGCAAAAATATATTCTTATAAAAAAGACGACCCTACTCGCACCCAATCAACTAATATCACAAGAAAAATAAAAACAAAAACGAAAGATAGACAAAAATTAACAACGGGGGAAAACATTTATCTATCACATTTGCAATACAACAGAAATCAGTCATATATAAAGACAAATACTATGAAAATAAAAAGTGAAAAAGAGATAGAAATAACTCACTAAATAGATGGCAGAATGAATATAAACAAGAGAATAAGAACTATTACACTAACAAAACTAAATCAAAAACAAACAAAATAACTGACCATCTAAAATAAGAAAACTATCAATTTGACGATGACTATAGACCTATACAACCTAGTATGATAGATAAACAGGAATAGACATCTATATTGAACACTGATAGAAGAATTCTTCTTTCATACTCACGTATATCCCTCCCTCGCTACTATAGTTTATCATGTTTCAAGTACCTTCTTCTCTTTATACCTCCCTACCCCCTTGATAAGATTGTGATATATATGTATGTTACTTTAATGGTATCATTTACACCGTATCATCAATTAGGATAAGTATATGTATTACCCATATATGTTATACGCTCTTACATTTGCATCTGAATTGAGGAGTTACGAGCAGTATAAATTCTGATATTAAATCTCCTCTATTATATATATTCAATATTATCACATAGTATAACTGTTACTTCCTTTTAAATCTCCTTTTTTTTTTTTCTATTTATATACTTTTTTTTTTTATTTATGATCCTTGCGTACTTATAGTTGAGGGTGCCGTTGGTGGTGTTGGTTGTGTTGTGTTGTCTGTGAGTGTGTCTCGTGTTTTGTGCGTTGGTTGTTTGTTTGATCGTGATATGTGGTTTCCACATTTTTGGACTTCTATCTCATTCGTAATCAACATAATTATATTGTACTCCTTCACACCCACCACCTATCGGCCCACACTCCCGTCCACAACTGCTTACCCCATCAGTCACTGCGCTCGTATCATATATTGATCTCATACTCTATACATATCAC